AGCCCAATGGGAGCCCACCCCGTCGCCGAAACATGAAGGGAGCCACCCATCCAGCCACCGCGGCCCACCTTATTTCTGAGGAGAGATCCCCAAACCGTACCTGTTTGGGGAAAAAAACCCTAAACCGTAAATCCTGCAGAACGGTTTGGGGTTTGGGTTTAGGGCCTTTGAAGCTCCAAAACCCGAAGTACCCATAGCCACCTGCTCCCGGAGCACGTGAAAGGCAGAGCCACGATAGGATTCACATGGAACAACACGCCTCAACCCTAAACCCTAAATCCATATTGTAACTCGTAAAGATGTTGGCATCCCCTTATAACGATCCTAGAAAGCCCAGAAAACAAGCCCCTAAAACGGGGTCTCGGAGCAGGGTGCAGGGTGATGTCTCGAGTTCCAGCAATGTACGCTGGCCTTCGTCGAACATATGGCTCCATTTCAGGCTTGCCGCTTTAGGGTCGAGTTTTAAGTGTTTAGCAGTACAACGGACGGAATGGGACCACAATACTTAGCAAAACTATTCCCATATGGCTCATAATAAGGTTGTATGTAGTACATGACACACCCCAGAAAACCTTCTCAAGCTGTTAAGGCCCCTCAATTGCGGTAATCTTGAGTTCAAGCCCCGGCTTCCAACAAATGCCTAGGTTTCAAGGTCGGAGGCCATACCGGTAACCGAAAAGACCTACATTCTTAGGGTTTCCTTACTGTGGTTTCTATATACCACATCGTTCTTTAAAAAAAGTAGGTCTTTCCTGTTTCAGGTACTTTCTTGCAAGGAGACCTGAAACCCTGAAACCGCTGTAAGGACCTGCAAACGAGGGAACCCCCGCTTCAAGAAAGCCGCAGAAGATCCTTCGAAACCTCACTCAGAAACCCCATCGAATGCTGATAAAGACCCTGCCAATACCCTCTTAGACCCTATAGAACCCTTACAAAAACCCATGAACCACGGCCTCCCGGGTGCCAGCACATCTTCCAGAAGCATCGGGGCGCTAGACGCCGGATTGCGGATTTGTAGTTTTGAGATGCTTGGGATTGGGGTTTCGGCTTGACGGGCGAAATTTTCGGAAGCTGAGCGTTTGGTGTATCAGCGGCTTCCCGTGGGACAGTCAGCAAACCCCTGATACGGATTAAGGTTTAGGGTTTAGGATACAACACCCTGAAACCCCCTCAGCCCTAAAGCGCTGGGGATGGACGCAACCGAGGGCGGAGCCCTTGAAGGTTTAGGGTTCAGGGTTTAACCCCAAACCCTAACCCCTAAACCCTGCACCTTAGGGCTTGCGGTTCACGGCTTCTTGGCTCAGGGCTTAGAGTTTGGGGCGGCTTCGGGAGGGTTTGGGGTGTTAGGGTGTTGGGGGCATTCAGGATTTTGGGTGTGGGGTTGGGGATTTGTCAGTTCTTGTGACACTTGGCTGCATGTGCATTGGAGCCCGCGGCTAAGGCGACGGCAGGTTCTCAAAGCTGTGATATCCTTTGTTTCCGAGCTACAAGCGAAGCGAGAGAGCTCGGAAGATGATTGTTGGGGCTGGGCCCAGCCATTATGAGCGACATCAACCGCTTGGTGTGGACCATATATGGCAGTGTAGAGTGTAGTGCTTGAAGCTCGGGGTTCGGGGTGTTCGCGATTGCGACAGGGCACGTACCCTCGGAGCCTGAGTAAGTCAGGCAGAAATTTGAAACTGAAGTCTGCTTTCCCCCCTAAACCCTAAACCCCTAAACCTTTGTATTGTAAAGACAGAAAGCACCTGCTAAAGGAAAGCTTGTCCCAAAACCTTCCACCAACACGAGGGTCGTGGGGTAAGGTTGCTTCGCGGTTCCGTAACGACCATCTTGAGAGAAGCGTAAAGTTACATAAAAGAAGGTATCTTTTACCTAGCAACAGCAGTTTTTCTCGAATCAAACCGGTCATGATCGTAACCACAGTTGAAAGTGATCCGGCTAAAGGAGAGGTTCCAGCCACTCAAAACTAAAAGCCCTTAACCCTAAACCCTAAACTCCAAAAGCCCTTTAACGCTAAACCCTTAACCCTTAACCCTGAACCTAAACCCTGAACCCTAAACCCTAAACTCAACCCCATAGGCCTTCACGCTCGCAGTTGAGGGCCTTTGTCACAGTTTGGGGCTTCGTGTTTAGTAATTTAGGGTTTAGGGTTTAGGGTTTAGGGTTTAGAGTTTAGGGTTTAGGGTTTAGGGTTTAGGGCTTTATAGCCTTTTCAACAATGTTTGTCAAAAACCTGAGAAACCTTACCCTAGAACCAGAAGCCCTGACCCCGGAGCTCTGCACTACCCGGTTTTGCTGGGAGCAAGATCACGGGCCAGCTTCCAGCGAAGGCCGTTCCCAGCATCCGCAGAAGCCCATCGAGAGGACGATATGCTTCCGGCAGCCTCAATTACTTCAACTACCCTATGCCCTCAAAGCTAAACCCCCTAAACCCTCTATCGAAGGTTTCAGGAGGGTGGCATCAGGGGTTCAGGGCACTCAACCTCCCTAAAGGTTTCAGGAGGGCATCAGGGGATTTCGGACTAAACCCCAAACTCTAAACCCAAAACCCTAAACCATTCAAACTCAGCTTTTTGGGGCTTTACTGGACAATCGCTGAAATTTTTTTGCTGTCTCAAATCGCCTTAAAGGACTCAGGGCGTCAGTCGTTTGGGGGGTTTTAAGGTTTAGGGCCGCTAGCGTCTCAGCCCTTTGAGGCTGCTGGGCTTTAGGGTTTAGGGTCTAGTAATCTTGGGGTGGCAAGACTGGCAGCATGGAAGGCTGAGGACTTGGGGTTCTGGAGTTTAGGCGTGTGGGGATTCCAGCTTCATCCACCTTGGGTGTCTTGAAGCGTCCAGGATGTAGTCTTTCGCAGATGAGGGCGAAGGATTTCAAGATGGAGGGTTGGGATTCTGTTATGACGGCAAGGACCATGAAAATGCCTTCTTGCATTTAACCACGGTGCTCTGCGCGGATTCGGCTGGCCTAGAGGTGAGAGGTGCGAAAGTCGGCAAGAGCCCTTCGTCCCCCGGATCCAAGGTCGGCACTCCACGGGGCTCTTCAAGGACGCTGCGGGCAGAGAGACAGCGGCGCAGAAGCGAAAGACGTAGGCCGCCCCAACCAGCAACTCAAGCCGAGCCTAAAGCCCGAAGTCTCGCAGTCTCCTGTTCAACCATCCCAAGAAAGGCTTCCGTCGCATCTTCGCTCTCCTTCACATTCTCATCCGTGCCGCTGGTGAGATGCAGGAAATGCCTCGCAAAGTGCTTATCGTTGGGCCAGATCTTGCACTTGTCGGAGTCCGTGGTAACCCAGTAAGCAGCTTTCCTGAAGAGGCTTAGGGCTTTAAGGTTTAGGGCGCTACCAGGGTCTTGGATTTCAGGGCTTGGGCGGTTTAGGGCCTGAGAATGCCTGAGAGATTCTCACATATATAATTATTTAGTGTGAAAGTAGACCTCTGATTCATACACTCGGCTTCTTGAAGGGCTCTGGCATTAAGACCCCGATCATAATCATCCAGTCTGTACATTCAGCCCTCACTAAGCCCTGATAAAGCCTTACAAGCCTATAACTACAATCCTATAGACTTAAGACACCCTGGTCGAAAGCTGATACTACCCTTGTAGCAGTTTTGTGGAACCCAAAAAAGAATGTTTCTGAAGGCCTGACAAGTTAACCCCTTCAACCCTAAACCCTACTTAACAAGAAAGCCTAAACCCCAAACCCTACCCAACAAAGAAACCTAAACCCTAAACCCTCCTGGACGAAAAAGCCTGAACCCAAAAAAACACCCAACAAAACAAGCCTATGCCCCTAAACCCTAAAGGCTTACGGCTCTTACAATTTCGGTCCCTATAGGGATTTAGGCCCGGTTGTTCCTAGACCTGACACCCTAAACCCTAAGCCAAACCCTAAACCCTAAGCCCTAAGCCCTAAACCCTAAAACCCTAAACCCTTAACACCCTAAACCCTAAACCCCAAGCCCTAAATTCTAAACCCTAAACCAAGTCTCCGCTCCGGGATGGAGCTCAGACAGCAAAGCAGCAGCTCCGACTCCAGCCTGCTAGCGACTCTCTCCTGGGCTCTGGTTTAGGGTTTAGGGTTCAGGGTTCAGGGTTTAGGGTTTAGGGTTTAGGGTTTAGGGGTTAGGGTTTAGGGTTTAGGGTTTAGGGTTTAGGGTTCAGGGTTCAGGGTATGAGAAGGAGCGCAGAGCTAAAGAGACCCTAAACCCTAAACCCCAAATATGCAAAACAAGCTGGGGCTTTTAAGTCAGGGCTTTAAGGCTTTCGGATCTTCGGGTGTAGGATCCTCGGGGTTTTTGGATTTGTTTGGTGTGTTGGGTCTGGGGGTGGGGCTGTGGAGTGTAAGGGTTTGGGCTGAGTACGGTCTTATGTTCATGTAAGTTTCGAGAACAGGGATATACCTTGAGCTACCAAACCAAACTTTTTGTGGGGTCGCTATAAATTCTGGATTGAGGTTCGTAATAAGAACCTACAAAAAGGTAAGTTATGGCAGTCTAAGGCAACTTTATCATTGCACATGCTTTGCCGATCATGGCAGTTCGGAGTAGTTTAGGGCGCAGCACTCCTCTGACCAAAGACTGGAGACCTACATTGAGGAAGCAAATGCCTGAAGCACTTGCAACTGTACCCTAGACTCTACACGAGACCTAAAGCCTATGACGACCTTAAACCCTGAATTCTCGCTCCTACACCACAAACCCTAAACTCTCAACCTGAAAGCACAAAAAAACTCAGCTGAACCTAGTTTCTGGACGAGAAATCCTAGACTCTAGACCCACAAACCTAAACCCTAGTTCCTAAACCCTAAACACTACACACCAAGCTCTGAACCTTGGACCCTTAACTGGCACTCTACCTAAAGGCCCTAGTTCCTGAACTGTTGAACCGTAAACCCTTCACTCAATGCCTTAAAGCCTTCAAGCCTAAAGCCTAATTCCTAAGCCCAAAACACCCCAATCTCAAACGGTACACCCTTAAACGTTAAACTCTAAAGCCCAACCTCGGCCCTTGATAACCTATCTGTTGAAGGACTTACATACGGAGATCATAGGTTCTTTAGGGTTGAGGTCGCTCCTTAATCTCTAAACCCCAAACCCTAAAACCACAATCCAAAACCCTAAAAGCCCTGAACCCCTTATAGATCCCTTAATCGCCCCTTCAAGTTTCCCTGAAAAGAACCCTCAAAAATACCTTTTAAGAGGCTAGCTTCGAGCCAGTCAAGGCCGAATGCATCGTGGCGAATTGCAAACAGCCCGAAGGGCCACATGTTCCTGGGCTCGGGGTTTAGGGTTTAGGGTTTAGGGTTTGGGGTTTAGGGTTTAGGGTTTAGGGTTTAGGGGGGTCTCGGGGTTCCCTATAAATCTAAGGGGGTGTAGTGTAAGGGTTCCTTGTCGGGTGCCAGGAAGGTTTTTTTTGAAGGGGCTATAGAGGAGTACTGATGTAACAGTGCTTGCATGAGCCAACAGTGAAGGCGAACATGTCGTTTGCAAGATGTGGGGGTTTCCGAAAATAGGGGACCCCAATATAGCACCCTTAATAGTAGGATCCTACTTATAAGGACCCCAAAATAAGCTACACCGTAATTTTCGGAAAGTCCCATGTTTCGCTAGGAATGCGGGCGCACTCACTTCTTGCGTGTCTGCGTCAGCAGGCAGTCCCGCCAAAACCACCCCGACTGTTCTGTTTAGGGTTCACCTTGCAAGCCTGCTTTGCCTAAAACGACCACCTTTGACAACTTAAAACCACATACGTAGGCAGCCGGTTTGGGTTTAGGGTTCAAGGTGTAGGGTTTAGGGTCTTAGGGCTCTCTGTGCAACCTTCATAGGGCTCCTTTGAGGGTTCCGAATAAGGATTTTCAGCCTTTGGTGGTATTGGGAGTCTCCACGGCAACCAGACAATACAGTGGTGATATATGCGGGGTTCAGGATCAGGGTTGCCGGTTTTGGGACACATGCTCAAGAACATGCTTTCCTTTCTGCGCCAACTCCATGTACAGAAATCATAGGGCGGGTAGCAAGGCCAGAAGATGATGCTGTGCCAGCTGAAACTCAAGCTCCCTGCCAATCCGAAACCCGAAACCGCACCCGAAGTCCCTGGTTCCCTAAACCCTAAACCCTAAACCCTATGCCCCAAAAACCCTGACATCCAACTTTGTGGTCCCTTCCCTAAACCCTAAACCCCTAAACCATAAACCCGGAAGCAATGACATGAAGCCAGGTTCAGGAGGCTCGGGTCCCTGTGCCTGTCACGGAAGATGGTGGCATGAAATGACACCATGGCCTTGACAGCTGTGGCACACCTGGCCGTGCCCAACCCTCTTCCGTCGGTTCCGTTCCTTACTTGCCCAGCTCATTGCGGAACTTAAACTTAAGGGTAACCTTTGAACCTATATATCATTCGTAGTACATAGAAAAGGGTTACGAACCCTAGACTAAACTCGAGATCCTAAGACAGGCTCCTTCCTTCCTCAACCCGGGCTCTCATGCCAGGGCAAGGCATCACAGTGCATCGGGGCCGGAGACAGCGGATCCCTGGCGGTGCACGGCTCAGTCTGGGCCCGGAAGGCAGCGTCGGCATCAATAAAGAAAAGCCACGCACCAGGAGGGATACCTGGGCTCCTACGAGGGAACTGGATTTTTTCAGTACAGTAAGAAAAGGAACTACACGGTCGACAGAAAGACGGACCGAGAAAAGTCTGCAATGTGCAGATACATACATACATACATACATACATACATACATACATACATATATACATATATATATATATGTATGTATGTGTATGTGTATGTATATATATATGTATACATATTCATCTAAAGATGCATTTGTTATCTATTCATTTGTCTATTCATTTATACACGCACATCGTTTGTTCATTCAGGTTTTGCCTCTGCATATACAATCTTACTCTTGTATAAATCTGAAACTTCTTAGCAAGCACCCAGGGACACTTCAATGCTTCAGCAACAGCCCTCATCTTGCCACAGCGCCGATGCCCCCACGTGATCTGCTTGTAGGGCACACCTCAGTGCGAAGTCCTTAACTCTACGCCCCAACGCGATGACTCTCAACTTCGACCCCTAAACCCTCAAGCCTTAAGCTCAAAGCCTTGAATGACTCCTAGGGTCCTAACCCTAAACCCTAAAGTCCTAAAGCGTTCTGGGGTCTGGAGGCTCCTTCGCTTGGCGAGGGTTCATCTTCAGAGCTAACCGGAAGCCGAAACCCCTTCTGGGATTTTGGAGGGAAAACCTCGAAGCCTGAACCCCGAAACCCGTTAATCGAGCTTGAAGATGTGTCTTCGGCCTTTTCTCGCAAAACCCTGCCTAAACTCCAAACCTGGAAGCAAAACTCCGCACCCTCGAACATGAAAAAGCCCTTATAGCACGCTTTCGTGACCCTGAAAGGAACCCTTGAAAGGAGCCTCTCCAGGGATCCCCGTGAAAAAAACCCGAGAACCCCTAAAGCCGGATCAACCCTCAACCCTAAACCCTTACTATAGAAGCCTCAATGATTACCAAAATTATTATCCTTAGGGCGGCTTATTATATTTATACTAGAATGGACCCCAAAACTATAATAATAAAAACTTAATATGAGAAATATAACATAATAACCTCTATTGTACTATACTATATTTTATAATATTATTAAGGCCCCTATATTAACCCCTACAGCCAAAGTCGCCTGCCAGAGTCGCAAAAGCCTGGTGGTTGGCCCGGGTCGCGTTCGCAATCCTGAGCTCTTGCTTAGGGTTTAGGGTTTAGGGTTTAGGGTGCTTAGGAGGCTATAGAGGCCTGAATGTGTGGAACAAGGTTTCTTTGGGCCTTTAAACAACAGCGAAGCATACGGTTTACTATGTATGGCAAGTTACTGTCCCATTATTTCAACCGAAACCACGCTCTTAAACAGGAGCTCAGAATCCGCGGCCACAGCGAGCTGAGCCCAACAGACCCGCCCTCCTGAGTGAAGTAGGACACGATGCCACCTGACCAGTGTCTTGAGGGTTCAAAGTTCGGATTCAGACCAAAATCCAAAGAGTCCCAAAACCCAAGACAAAATCAAAAGCAAAACCTAAAAGCGCAAAACCAGCAGCATCCTGAAAGACCCTAGCCAGAAAGCCCGATCCTTCTGTGCTGCTTGGAGGCTGGAGAGATCGCTCTTTGGAGAGTCATGGGTAGCTATAACAAAAGTTTATACGTGTAACTGTGATTATAACCCATATTAGGTCACTTATAACTTATAGCCCCACTTATAACTACCCGTGAACCTCCAAGCTCCACACCCCTACACCCTAAAACCCTCAACCCGGGTCTAAGGTTTAGGGCCTAACCCCTAAACCCCAAACCCTAAACCAGGCATTTGGGGTGTCATAAAGCTGCGGTAACTCTGGAGCATTCGGGGTGGAGTCTTTGGGTTTTTGGAGATCCGGTTTAGGGCTTGCGGAACCCACCCTAGACCCGCCTAATCGAAGAGCCTCCGGCATGTCAAAAGTGGGGCTGCAAGATTTCGTCACCTCCTCGTAGTTGGCATAAAGGGGCTCGAACCGGAACTTCCTGGGCTCTGAATACTAACCCATAAGGTTTAGGGTTACGGGGTCAGGGTACAAGTTCGGGGTTCAAGGTTTAGGGCTTAGGGCTTAATGTTAGAAAAGTTTTTCAGGGCATTGCAAGGTTTAGCCAGGCTTTGCAATGCCCGTATAAATGTTCAACACATGTTATACGGTGCTTGGTATGGCTTTATATGGGGTTGAAAGGCCGTAAGTGAAGCAGTTCAAGTTGCCGTACAAGGTTACAACATCTATCGGATGCTGAATTAGGAAAACGTAAATTATACTATATTGTCAATCTCACTGTATACGTATCTTTATACAACAAGCACAACACTTCCCTTTCTTGAAAACGTAGAGTCTATGTCCTTCGTAACAGCCCAGCTTCTGATTCACGAGCTCGAGCACACCCAAAATGCAGATGAGCAACAAGAGGACAAGCAGAACCTGCAACTCATCGTAAACCGTCCAAACCCCCTACCTATAGCACCGAGAGACCCATCGTGAAATCGTCGTAAGGAGCCTGAAAAAGTAGATGCTTACCCTTAGCCCTAGACAGCCAGGAAGTGGCGGATCTCTCGATAGGAAGCCAGAGACCACCAAACACAACAGGTGAACAGATCCTCTCTCTCTCTTTCTCTCTGTCTCTCTGTCTCTCTCTCTCTCTCTCTCTCTCTCTCCTCTTCAGCACAGTCACTCTCTCTCTCTCTCTGTCTCTCTCTTCCTGTCGCACAAGGCAAGTCCCCGAGTGAAGCTACTCGCCAGCAGCCCTTTCAGCTGGTCAAAACAAAACCTCTAAACTGGCCCAAGCTTTCCTATTGTGAGCTAGTCGCTGTAGGGTCCTTCAACGGTCTGTGTTGCCAAATTATTTGGGATGTGCTGCCGCCACCGCCGCTCCGCAGGATGATGATATATGTCGTGGTGTATTTGAAGGGGTTTCGCTATCGTGGAATTACCGGTCAAAACCTGTTGCCTCTGATAGGCCTGGGTCATAGTGAGTTCGGCCCAACGTATACGAGGATGGCCGGGTCGCTTCTTATGTGGCTTACGATATGCGTGCGCTGTTTGAAACGTGAAACGTAGATGTATGTTCAAGAGAGTCGGCGTGTCGAAAGATGTGTCCTAGATATGAAATTCGGGAAGTGATGATCTGCTGCGACGGAGCTAAAAGTTTAGGAATATATTCATACACCAGCTGGAGAACTCGGCGAACGTCTAGCCTTGGCTTCTGTGTGTTGTTGCTGCCATGCCCTAAAAGCTGCCAGCTCATCCGGGGCAATCTCTGCTTGCTCTGCTGTCGGCACCGGTAGGTGGCGCCTCAGGCGCCTGTGGCATCTCTCCCGCTCTGGGTCTCTTGACACTCCAACTCCTCTGTCTTAGCCAGGGCTGCGTCGGCCAGGGGCTCGAAAACCAGAAAAATACTACGGGTTGGGGCACCAGCAAATACGATATTAAGACACTCGACCTGGGTCGTGGAAAGGCTGTGCAACCTTGGGAAGGGCAAGGACTGCGGAAGGTGAAGTCCTAGTCCTAAGATGTGAAGTGTGCAATTGCGCAACCGGTGCACGGGGCAGCGAGTCCAAGACCCTTCTCTGTGCTTGTGCCAAACGCCTTGTAAACAGATCCTCGAAACCGAAACGTCTAAATCCTTGAACCTCAACCCCAAAACCTAAAACCCCCAAGCCAAATCCCTAAACCCAACCCCAAGCCTCAAAACCTCAAATCGAAGCCCAAACGCTGAAAAGAACGCCAAACCCCGAAGATAATTGAAATTTTCTCGTCGTACTCTCGTCGTAGAACCCTATAGCACCCTTTGAAGGAGCAATAAATGAAGCCAAGGCAGCAGCCCCCCGAAGTCCGCCGTATCTTCTCAAGAGAGCCCGGCTCGGTGGCTCCGGGGGCTTCCTTGAAATCTCCATTACGGTAGGGTTTAGGGTTTAGGGTTTAGAGTTTAGGGTTTAGGGTTTAGGGTTTAGGGTGTCGATGGAGTCCATTCGGGTTTAGGTTTCAGGGGCCTTACTGAGGATTTAGGCTTCAGGGGTTTAGTTTAGGGTTTAGGATTGAGGGGTTTAGGGCTAAGGGTATAGAAACCTTCCAGCGTCCACTTTGGTTTCGCCGGTTAGGGGTTTAGTGATTTCGGCGTTCACTTGCAGGGTGTTACAAGTTGTTTGAATCTATAAGTTTGGGTTTAGGGTTTTAGGGGTTTGGTTAGGATTTAGGGTTAAAAGTCCTTGCTTTAGGGGTTGCGCGGTTTAGGCTTTAGGGGTTTGGGGTTTTGGAAGGGTTTGGGGTTTAAGGGTTACTAATGCTTCAAGGGTTTAGGGTTTAAGGGGGCTGAGGGTTAACACCTCCGCGATATGTTGCACAGGTGCGGGACAAGGCTACGAACCCAAATCGGATAGTTTAAAACCCCCGTCTCTGAATCACAGATGTTCTCCAACCCCCAACATGACATGACTCAACAAAACCTAGACATCCTCAAAACCTCGACCGCTTTCTCACCGGAGCTCGCAGAAAGATCTCGACTGCCCTCCGCTACGTCAGGATCTCCCCGCTGCTTTAGTCGCTGCGTCAGAGGAACGCCAACACGGGTCTCCATCAAACGCGGGGTCTAGGGTGGGCTTCCGGTACTACAGTTTGGGGGTGTAAGGGTTTATAGCGTCGTAGAGTTTAGGGCTGTGAGATTGAAGACTTTGGGCTTTTCGGGTTCTTTAGAGTTTAGGGTTTAGCTTTAAGGAGGATTCCAGACTTTGGGTTGATCTACAGGTGTGGGATTCGTGGTTTATACATCTAACTACAGTGCCCTCCCTGTAACCCCACCTCTAGCCACCCATGAACCACCAACTTTAGGTCGTAGTACCGAAGCTTCCATGCTTATCGCGCAGGTCGGTTAGCTGGAGCCACAGCTGTGGTATCCGAGGCGAATCGGACTTACGCCTACGTTTCCGTGATCTGACAGGGAAGCCGAAAAAAAAATACGGCCTTCATAATTAAAATGAGCTTTTGATGGTATATTATTATAATATATTTTGAACCCAAAGTAGCATGAGTAGTTAGTCAGACCTGCAAAATACTGGGGGTTCCATGTTGAGCCAAGCGAAAGGATCTGGCTTTTTCCGTGTGCTTTGGGTGAGCATGGAAAGAGACGATCAGCGAGCTGAAACAGACACAATGAGTCATACCACTATCAAGACTCGTGTCGGTACAATAACTACCATGAACACCACCACTGTTGTTCAGCACGAATCTTGCTACCAGCATTACGAGTACTGTTATCGGGTACTACTAGTTTACTAGTGATAATATCAATCACAAAAGCTGCTGGTGCTGTTGTTGACAAGAAAGTCCGGGATCCCCTGTTGAACTGGACCAGAAGGATAAGATGCAAAGTCCAGGACAATGTGCTGAACTTGTGGTGTTATGGCTACGACGGGCCACCCATCATGCTTGCCAGCCTGGCCGCACAACTCAAACCACATGCTGCTGCGTGTTAAAAACAAAGCCGAGCTCTCGGTGCAATTGATGAACCGAAACTAATGCATCCTGTGCTACATGCACCTAGCCCTCACGCTACACCCCAATGCCCTAACTCTACTACCGTTGCGTGTGACAGGTTTGGCCTTGGCCTTTATTGAACTGGAAAGTTTTCTTCTGTTCCACTGTAGGTTATCTAGACCCGAAACGCCTCTTGCAGCCCTGGATTTGGTTTAGGGTTCAGGGTTTAGGGTTTGGGGTTTGGGGTTTAAGGTCGGGGGTCTAAGGGATAGGGCTGAGGGTTTGAGGTTTAGGGCTAGGGTTTCCGAAAGGCAAGCTGTCCAAGGCGGCTTTCCTTCACAGGTTTGAAGCATTCGGGCTTGTCTAAGGCAATCTGAAGGCTTCTGTACGGCTGATAAAACAATGGCTTCGTAATCCTGATGTGGCTCCACTTGGCTCCTACTGCTGAGAGTCCGGCTGTTCTCTTTTAAGAGCTGGCACATTAGCTTCGACAGCTGTTGCATACTCCAGCCTTGAGTTGATGCAAAGCAGCCCCACATCAGCCGCTCGCCGATAGCGTCCCGGCCGACCTCTGATCAGGTGATGCGGGAGAAGAAGCGGGGATTCGGTGGACCGGAGGACTTCGCAATTCAATGGACCACCTGGTAGGTAGAAACCTGAATACTCGGTTTTGTGATATACGTGCTGTGCAGGATCATGTAACCGACTCCATCCCATCAAGCTGCTGCCTTCTCCTCCTCTTTTCCTTGGGCACTCTGCATCTCAGGCCTGGTGAACTCACACCAAGTCTGTGGTTTGCCTCTGCAGGAGAGGATTAAAGGAGCGCTCTTCTGAGTTAAAAGTCGGTGCGCACCGGGAACTTTGCGTTGCCTGTCGCACCGGGAAATCTCCACATGGCTGCCACATGGCTGCCAAGTCTAAGTCGAATAATCGAATAAGCGGCGGTATGCAGGGGAAAAAGCTCCGCCACCCGTCTGGCCAACAGCCTAAGCACGCACTGCGGGGTACACTGTAGGGCCTTGTACGAGGAGAAAAGGTTGTTTTTGTCACAGCAACCCTAAACCCTACAAACCCAAATGGCTGATCACATGGCGGGGATGGTTGAAAAAGAAGCAACCACGAGTGGTGGGCATGCCCCCCAGAAAGTGCGCCCCCTGGTCGAGAAGCAAGTTACACAACCTTTCCTTAAAGTAAGACTCGCTAAACCCTAAACCCTGGACCCCAAACCCCCCTAAACCCTAAACCCTAAACCCTAAACCCCTAAGCCCTAAACCCCAAACCCCAAAAACCCACATGTCACATGGGTCTGGACCCATGCGTATGAAAAACTCCAAGGGATTTGAGTCCAAAGGCGAGAATGGAAAGGGTGGCAAGTTCGGAAAGAATGGGAAGGGACAACGTTTCATCCCATACGACATACCTCCTTCCAACACCTGGTACGCGAGAAAAGGGGGCAAGGACAAGCAACAAGGGCAACGGCAACAGAACTACAAAGGACAGTTCTCCTCCGCTCAGTCGCAGGGAACTCCCCGGATGCCGAAGCTTCTTCTTGGCCTACACTACAAGTGCCCCTCGACAGGAAAGGCCGTTTGCTTTGGCCACAACCTTCCAGGCGGCTGCCCCTCCTCGAAGAACGGAGAGAAGGAATGCAAACCTGCGACGAAATCATAGAGGACGTTCGCCGTTAGTTTCCGAGGGACCTCTAGGGAGCCTCAGGTTCTCACAAAACAGCAAACAGTCAAAGCAGG